GAAGAATTCATTTACAATCTAACTGAAGGAATGAGATGTTGTAGAATGGAAAGGGCTTTGTAGTACAATTTAAACCAACTCTGGTAGATCAGGAAAGGAAGGGATTCTTGTGGACTGTGGTAACAGGAGGTTGAACTTAAACTTACTCTTAAGGGATGGGGAGAATTTGGAAGGATCAACAGGAGGAGGAAGAACATGAACTCTGTCCAAAACTAATGACAAGGAGAGTCAAAGAGGCCATCTTGAGTGGAAAGACAAGTTTGTGTTGGGATGTGGGACAGATAAGTTTGAAAAGATGAGGAAGACACTGTTCTAAAAAGAAAGGATGTACCTATAATTTCTAGGTTCTAGTCGTGTGTTGAGACGTAAAATGGGTTTAAGAATGATTTGTTAAGGTGAGAGGCCTGAGATGGTACCTCATGGCCGATTTAACAAATGGGTATTTCTGTGTCCAGAGCGTGAAATTTTCCTCTGACAACTGGAAATTCCAAGGAGGACTTTCAAGATGGTAATGTAGGTTACCCACACCTGTACCATCAAAAATTACTCATTTACTAGATGTATCTGATGCTTAAGCTGATACTTTTTTACTTAGAAAACAGTAAGACACTGTTTCTTAGAAATAGGTCCGCAGAAACAGTAAGCTCACTCCTTTATTTGATCCTCACAAGAACTCTCTGAGGTGTTATCCTCAATTTGCAGAAGGAACTTAGAGGCTCGTAGAGCTGAAAGGCTTGCCCAAGAACACCACGTGAGTCTATGTCTCTTGACTGAAGTCGGGAAGCCTTCCCCTCTACCGCAGTTTCACATGGTTGGTTGTGGACATGACTTTGAGAGGGGAGCCTGTACAAGACAGTGGTGTCACCGCTGAGCCAAGGATTTAGAAGGCATCACCATGCCACCCCACACACAGGATTGCTAGAGCCTTTCCTTTAGACACCCAGAGCGGCCTCCTTTTCAAATGAGAGTACCTTCTGACTATGCATTGCAAATGCAGAGGAGAGAATTCCACCACGAGGAGCTCGTGCTTGGTAGGACTGGCCCACGAGCACTTTGTCCATATCCTACTCGTTTGGACAACAAGGGCTTCACTTGTGTAACGAAAACAATTATCTGTATTCTCTCAAGTTGTCCTTAATTTGTAGAATGCTTGAGAAGACAAGCTGTCACAAAGAAGCTTACAAGTAAAGGCCACGAGAAAAGCAAAGCTGTGCTTTCATTTTCTAGCTAAAAATAATGACCAAAGAAATAAAGCAGTAAGTTTTAGCCCAGTAAACCAAAAGGGATTGTGGGTATGGGAGAAAAGCAGAGAGTATTAATATACCTAATATGACCACAGTACTATTTGCTATGTATGTCTTAATTATGCCCCAATCCACGTCCCCTCATCCTCTAATTCCATAAATTCCAAAACAACCCCGAGAAATCTTTCTGGTTTTGTTTGGAAAGCAGCACTATGTTTCTGTGCCTGTGCATTCTAAAACAGGCCTGTCAAATTTGAAACCTCAATTCAAGCTGACAGAAGTCAGCTACCAACAAATTAAGTTAAATTAATAGAGTTGATGTCTGAAATACAAAGAAAATGTTTTTTACCCCAGGAATCTCTCTCCCTAGATGCCAGGCTAGATAGAGAGACGAAAGCAAACCTCAGTCTCCAGCAAGCCCTTTCCTTTGCCTTGTCATGTTTCCTAGAGAGTCCTGCATGGGAAGCCTCTCCAGAAGTATTGCTCCCCCTAGTGGCAGCCTCCAAACTCCCATCTACCAATTTTATGGGCATATTAAAGACCTGAGAGATTGGAAAAAAGTACTGGAACAAGAAACCCTATTTCAAATCCCTACTCGCACACCAAATAATTATGTACCTCCTTGAGCTAAAGAGTTCAGTTTTATGACTAGAAACGATTTCTAAGTATACACAATAAATGAGAAATTCAGATTTTGTCCCATGTAGATTTTATCTTAAGACAATATTTCAGACTGTTTTATGAAGGCAAATATTTTAGCTTCTTTATCTTTGTATACATTTTACGGAATAGAAGAATATATGAATGCTAAATTTTGAGATCTAGATTCCTTTTTTTCCATTCCCATTATTCCCATCTTAGTTCAGACCCTCATGGCTTTGGGCCCAGTGTGATGGAGCTCCCCCTTCTCTTCACCAACTTTGTGGGAATTCTTTTTCCGGCTTCATACGGGCAGGAAGCATCGAGGCTCACTCAGTAGCACCGGTGCCTGGAGGAACTGATGCAGCTATAAAAGCTAACCACCACCTAAAAAATGTTACATGTGTCAGGCCCAGTGTGGGAGTGGGATTTACAACTCCCTTCATGAGATCAGGCAGGTGCAGTAGTTCTATGGGAAGAAAAAATGATCTGAATATAGAGAGCTAATAAATTGTCTGGCGGGGGGATATTGGCCAGTATCGTGAGCCCCTCTCCCTTTCTTCCTCACAACCTTTTCATCCCCTGTCCTTCCTCACATTTAATTCTTCATTCAGAGTGGCCAGCATTACCAACAGAAGGGTCATTGGAAATACCAAAAGGTGGTCTGCAGCTTCCTTATATACCTCATTTTAACTGTCCCTTCTGCTGGGTAAGAAAACATACATCAACTGGGGTTTAGAACGTGATAAGCTGAAATGTAGAATTTGCCAATGGTAAAACTTAGAAACAAAATCAAGTTCAGAAGACCTGTCCTCAAGTCTTGTGCTCTAAATGTTCACTTCAAGAACCCCTTCTGATAGGGCTCTGATAGGGAAGGAACTATGCCAAGAGACTTAGGAATTTAGCAAATCTTAATCCCTGCCTTTTGAGGATGGTAAAACTGATTAATGATCCACTAAGTTCAGTCATCGTAAATTATCAGTTCTAATGAAATTTGGTTAAGCCTGCTTTCACTATTCCCGTTTGGAAATTCTTTTGGAGGCATCCATGTTCCTGGGACATCATAAAGATTTAAATCATTAAGTCAATGTTTCATTTTTTTAATCTAAAACAGCCTGAACACCTGAAAAGATTTAGCAATGATACTATGATGCATCTATTAAGATTCCTACAAAACAACAGTGATATTATTACTTAAAATATTGTATGGCTTACTAAAGATAAGCAAATTATATAATCATCTTTCTCTTATTAGCTCTTTGAAATAAACTAAGCAGTTAGTATGTAATTGTTGACTTTGAGAGAAAACACCTAACATGGGTGAATGAGTGAATGAATGGGTGGATGAGTTCTATCACAATGTCTCGTAGCCTCTCTGTCATCCCCCACAAAGTTTCAGCTCTAGTTCAATGCCACAGAAGCTAGACTGTCCCTGTAATAGTGGTGATGGTCTGGAACGGCACTGAATCAAACACAAACCACCCAGAAACTTCCCTTTAGCTGAGATTTTCTATTTCCTTCCCTATTTTTATCTGAACTGCCCATACATAGCCAAATTGAAGAATGATTGATGTAAGCCTTGCTTTTTCTCTCTCCTGCCTTTCCTCCAAGTGGAGGTAAGAAAAAGCGCAAAGCAACAGGTCCAAGGACAAAAGCAGAGCTGAGGAAGGCTGATTCATTGGCAGACTGGTCACCCACCTCAGAATAATTAAGAGCTGACTAGAGACGGCACCAAATCGCAAATACCATAGAGTCTGGAGAGGACCCAGCAAGAGACATAGTAAAGCAAAAGAATTGTATAGTGGGAGACTGCTGCTGGGACAGGAGATGTGACTCCTAGTCTTAATTTCACCACTAAGTCTTGTGAGTTCCCTGACCTTTTCATAACTTTTTTTTCCCTTCCCTGAAAAACAACCCCTTACCTGCTTTCTTCCTCTGGATGGATGTTAACATGATATTAGGTGAACAGTTCTTGGAGCCTTTGGAAATTAGAGAGGTGGAAATAATCACGAAGATGGAAATGACTGACTGCAGGAACCCCAAAGCCACCGCTGAATCATTTCTGTGCTATTGAATGATTTATTGACCTAAGGCCCTGCCAGGTCTGGCACTGGATCTCTGCAAGTTCCCATCCAGTCCTCCCCGCAACCCTTCTAGTTTCCCACCTCCGCATACACACTCCAGTTATCATCAGCCTCATCAGGACATCAGCTTCAAGTCATCATTAGACATTAATCCGCTTAACTGCCATCATGTCACAGGTAGTTCTTAGAAATGGCATGAACCTAGAAAAGAAAAAAATAGTAGACTGAGAGAGGAGTGGACTCTGAGGCTTGTGGAAGGTACTCACAATTTGATTCTTATAATTCTTTTCAGGTAAAGTATCTGAACTATATGGTGATTATTCTGGAATTTTCACTACCATGACCCTGAAGGGCAGACTTTACCTTCATTCTGCTGGCACCTTCACTACAAAGAGCCCTCTGCCAAGCATTGTGGGAAATAAAACAATAAATAAGGTCTAATTTCTGTGCCCAGTGATATTTACAGACTATGAAGGCAATAGAATTGAGATACAGTTACACATACAATTTCTTTCAAACATGTGCATCAAGATCCTCTCGTCAGTATTCAATCTGGCTGCTTCTCTCCCACCTCCAAGCCTTAACAGATGCCTTTCTCTGTATCTGGAAGCTCTGCCTACTTTCCACCATCCAGCCAAGCCCCACTCCTCCTGTATAACTTTGCCTTTTCCTGAAGAAGCCTTCCCGAAATCCATCTGCAGCACTCGTTCTAGCATCTCCTCTCACCCCCACTGTGTGTGCATGTGTATTCAGCACACATATGCTGCCTGCTCCAACTGTTAGCATTTAGTCCAAGTAATCAACAAGCTGCATAAGCAATCCAAAAGCTCCTTATTTGGGCTTGCTAACAGAATCACACCCATCAAAGTGGCAAGAGAGGCTGGTTTCCTGAGTGTCACTGTGGCTGGTTTGTGCCTGTTGTTAAAACAGGGTTCTGAGTACCTCTGAGGTTCCTTCCAGCTTTACCAATATCCAATGCCAAAAAGGAGTCAACTGACCTGACCGGGCCTACATTTCTTTTCTGTTGCTCCAGGATTATTCTACAGCCAGATGATTCCTTACAGATCCTGGCCCCCGTGGAAGCTGATGTGGGTTTCTACACTTGTAATGCCACAAATGCCTTGGGATATGACTCTGTCTCCATTGCCGTCACATTAGCAGGTAACGTGGAAATCCCTGTTCAATTCAGAAACCGTTGACCGGTGCCTACAACGTGCCGAGGAGGCCCAGGGACACAGACATAAATGAGATCCATACCCTGCCTCCGGAAGTTTGTAATCCGTAATTGTAATCAAATGGAGATAAAGTGTAATATGAGATAGAATGAAATAAGTGCTGATAACTAAAGAGGGTGCAGTTTCATTCTACCTGAGAGGTCTTAGACTTGGAGTAGAATTTTGATAAACAGAGATGCAGGAAATACTCCAGGCAGAGCGAACATGAGCAAAGGAGATGTATACAAGTAAGTAGCCTGTTGGGGCACATGAATCATGACCTAAGATCACTGAATGATCTTTTCATTTCTCCTCCGTCCACCTGCTGCAAAGAAGACTTTAAGACCTGGGTAGTTGGAATTCTGTGGCTGTGGGTTGGAGCACAAGTGCTCTTCTCTGTGACTGTTTATTTCAACCTCTTAGTCTAATACACCTGCCTACACTTCACCTTTATCCATAGAGGTTAGGCAAACCATTCTACACATAGCAACTTCAGAAAATTGCGATTCAGAGTACCATGCCTCCCAAGGTTGTGGTCTCGTAGTAAGGTACCCTTATAAAACCTCTCTTACATAGGACAGATCCTTGCCTTTGAAACTGAAAGAGACCTTAGATACCAGCTAGACCAGAGCCCTCAGTTCTCAGAGGCCAGGCAACCTGAGGTCACATAGCCGCTCAGCTGGTGGCAGGGAAAAAGGGAACTGAGGTCTCCTAACCCCCAGATCATTGTTCCCCCCTCTCCCCACTGATGCTACCAACCCGGGCTCCCTTTCCTCAGATCTGGGCCGCGCAGCCTTTGTGGCGGTGTGTTGCATGTGTTTGTATTTATTCTTTTCCATTGCCGCTCCCATCAGATGATTCAGTAGATGCTAGAAAAGCCGACATCACCCCACACTGACCTCATCCGTCCAAGCCGGGATTATGTTGTCACACTGTTTTCCAGTCACACATGCTACTCCCTTGCATATCTGTTTAGCAACAGTATATCTACCCCATGACCTAAGGCTGATCTGGGAAGGGACCTTGAGCTGGACGCTTTGCAGAGAGGATGAAAGTCAACAAAGAATAAGGCGAGCTGAGGGGCCCTGGGGTGGATTACAGACTGATATTAATGCCTATTTTTTGTGTGTGTGTGAATAGAACATTTGCTTTGCTCCTAATGTATTCCAGTCACAATCTTTATGCCCCTCTTCGTTATACAGAGTCCAGATGCTCGGCACCCATCTGGTTAATTCTCTTCTGCCTTACCCCCTCCCATCTGCCTTGGCCAGGGCACTGCTGACACCCTTCCAACTGCTGGCAAGTAGGGCTCTTACAGGATTAACTCTCTTGTTTATATTTATCCAGATACGGTTCAGCTCTGTCACAGACTAAATACCCTTTGTTCACCTGAATTTAATATGATTCACGGAAACCTGTCTGGAATTAAGCAAAGCAATTGTAACATCAGGCTTGTCTTCAGCTCTTTGAAGAGAAGCTATTGGAGGCTGCCAAAATATTCAAAGCCAGGGAAGAAAGAGAGCAGCCAGAGAGGCACCAGGGGAAAGGGAGAAAAGGAGCTGAGTGATGAAGTGGGTCACGCACACCACACCCAGGGCTTAGGAAGCTGCATCCATGGGCTTCAGTGGTGGGGTCTGTTCAGGTCTGCTAGCAGATCTGTCAAACAGTCCCTCTGAAAGGTAAGGCCCAAAATGGATACGCTGCTTTCAGACTGTATTTGTGTCTTTACCTGGGATTGTCGTCTAGCCTGGTGTCATATCTGCACTCACAGTTTTAAGTGACTCACACCCTCTGCCAAACATTACTGACGAAGAGCAACAAGTTAGACCCGAGTCTTGTGATTCGTGACACTTACAGACTAGTGAAGGCAATAGATGCATGCGTGACTACCTCGAATGCAGAGACAGTTACAGTGTCCTTCAAAGGTACCCCACACAGGTGTAGAAGATACAACCTAAATATAACGTAAATGGGTGCGGGGCGGCAGTTTGCAGGGGATGGATGTGGCGCATTTCTAAATCTTATTACCAGTTATACTGTTCATTAACCGTGTGACCTTGAACAAAGTGTATAACCTCAGAGTCTTTGTTCTCAGCTGTAAGAGTGAAATTAATCCTATTTTACAGGATTGTTGTGAGGTTCAATAAGATTGCACATGTGAAAAAGCCCTTAGCCCAATGCCAGGCACATAGTTCACACTCAATAAATGTTTCCTTTTCTTTCTGTAGCTCTCCTAAAATGAAACACATCCTGAAAACAATTTTAAAATGTGTAAAACATAAGCCCAACTTTGCTTCCACGTATTTTCCACTGTAAGTCTTCACACTGAAAATTTTCAAGTACGGACTTAGGAGCTGATTCAGCTCACTTGTGATCAAATCCTCGTGGTAAATCTCAGTGCTTCTGTGCTTTTAAAGACATTGTACATTTTTTCTGGGTTTTTTTTTTTTTTTTTTTTTTTGGTTTTTTCACCTTGACTTCAATATAAATGCAGGCCAAAAGGAAAAACAAGAGTTTTCTTGAGGCTCAAGCGCTCAGGTAGCTCCATGATTTTATAAGAAATGTGTGGATTTTGGCCTTGACTATGCACCTGAATCAACCAGATGCAGGGAAATTTGTTCGTAGTAATTCACAAGAGCAGGCATAGCATGGCAGTTAAGCCTGCAGGCTCTGGAGCCTCATGGTCTGGATTTGAATCCTGACTGTCACATCCAAGCTACATAACCCTGAGCAGCTTCTTTACACTCTCTGACTCAGTTTCTTTATTTGTCATATGGTGATAATAATAGTGTTTGACTCAGAAGGTTCTTGTGGAGATTAAGTGCCTTCATCATGTAAAATGCTTATAAGTATGCCTAGCATGTAGCAAGCACTCAATACTCGTTAGCTCTTATTATTATTGTGAGGATAAAACAAAAGCCAGGTTATTTTTACAGTAGGGGAAATTCCTTTTCCGAGACCAGAATGCTCACAAACCCTTTGTAGAGCACCTCACTCTAATGTCTCAGCATCTCACTGTCAAGGTGGAAGCTGAATTAGCTATCTGAAAAGCGGTTGGAGTGCCTGGGTCCAGAGCAAGGGAGGTGGCTACACGAGGAACATTTCACGTGAGCCAGAGGAAGGGAGGTCTGGTGAACCCTCCCTGGCCCATAATTGGACCTCTCCTGTTGAGTTGCCCCATCCTCTGAGTTGAGTGTGTTGTCAATTCTGCTTCTCAGGTTCATTGTAGGTCCACTGGTACTCTCTGCACAGTTTTTGCTTAAACATAGAAACAGCGTTTAGTTTTAGACACACCAAACCTTCCTTGCTCTGCCCTGTTTGAGCCTGTAAGATACTGTCTTTAGAGCCCTTTGCTTCTCTCCAAACTCATCAGTATGTGTTGATTTTATGTTTTAAGTCCCAAAGGTTTGAGAGTACTTTGCAAGTATGTCTAAGCATGGAGATGGCTAATGTTTCCCTACCTACTTCCCTGGTTCCAGAAACTCACAGCCATGTAGACCCAGTGGCACAAAATTCCCTTCTGTCCTAAACTGACTTAATGGTAAATGAGAGGGGAGGGTGGCAGGGGCTAGGGAGGGCTATAAGAATGTCACCAAAACGTCACATGCCTAACATGTTGAAGAACAGATCACTTTATGTGCGGGTATAAACACAGGTAAAGAAGAGTTTCCGGTGTGTGCAAAGACGGGCACTAAGATTGGAGAGCCATCCTGACTAGTCAGATTCAGCACTCAGCCAGAGTTGCTCAGAAGGCTTCCAGATCTGAATGGTGTAGGCAGCGTTTTGAAGGAAAGCAGTAGTTTCCTGGTAAATTGCTTCAGTCTGGATCAGTGGAGGGGAGCTTTACTTACCAATGCAGATGAGGCTTGTCCAGGTGTTAGCCATTGATGAGGTCATAGCCATAAGGGAAACGTTTTTGGTTGTCGTTGATTTTATAAGATCACAAAAGAGATACTGTAAGGCCTGCTTGACATCATCAATGGAAAATGAGAAGAAGATGGGGGCTGAGGGATGAGTGTATCTTTCATTGAAAGGAGAGAACACAGATGAGCTCATCCAAAGTTTTCACAGGAAAAGAGAGACAGAAAATATTCCTCCTTTCCTGGCATGTTTTTCTGTGTTTTTATGAGTTGAATAGCTGACACATATTGTGTCTAATAAAGAGATCACAGAAACCTCACTGGGAAAATAAAAATAAAAGGCAGGTTTTTTTTTTTTATATTCTTCTTTCTCGGCCCCCTCCTCATGATGTAGTAACTGCAATAAAAGACAAGCAGTTTTGTAAGCTTTTCATAACGTAGGTCATTTCAAATTGGCATTTCTGAATTTTTCATCCAGCCATTGTTAAGCAGAGGAGGATTTTGCTTCATAGAGAGAGAGGCTCAGGGAAGGGTTTGTCACCAAGAGGAAACACAAAAGAAAGACGGACAAAGGAAGGTTTGCCCCAGTGTACTAGATCAGAGGGAAAGGCGCACAAGTTTGGCTGACTTCCTAGTGGTGCTCTGAGCAGCAGGGTAATGGCCATTGACTGATTCAAGCTGCCATCAAGGGACTTCATTTTCTAATACAATACCAGGTAACCAAGTTCCTTAAGTTTTCCTCAATATGTATAGATGTGTAGCATGCCCACTAAAGAGGCCTAGCTTTTAGAGGATTCAGGTAAAATGGATGAGAGTATAGCAGGAGAATCCAACTTACTCTGCTCCCCAGTAGACTAGAGGAAACGAACAGGGAAGTACAAATGATCTAGGCTAACCCATCTCACATCCTGAAAAAGCAATTCCCACATCTGTCCAATGAAATGAAGGAAGGATGGGTGGTTGGACATGTAGTGGGTACCATATCCTTGGTTGTTTCTAGGAGAGGCTCCAACATCATGCATCTGTACTGGGTATGGGATCCCTCGTCTAGGACTCTGCAGTGGAACATGCAAAAGAAGTTAGGTCA